CAAAGCTTTGCTGGCTGGGGAATTCTGGGAGTTGAAGTCCTCCAGGCTTAAAGTTGCCAAGGTTGGAGACCCCTGCTTTAGAACATTGTCATTTGCCAATAATGGTTTAAGTTTGGAGAGTATAAGGTTTTCCAGGGGCTGCACCAGCATGGCAAGTCAACACTGGTACAAGCCAGAACTTGTTTGAAGGAAATGTCCAAGGACCACCAATACTTGAAATGGGTACTTTAAGCTTCGGCAAGCCAAAAGCACTCATGTTGCACCATAGCCTGCTTCTAATTTAAAAAAAAAATACAGACAAACAAGGGCTACACTCTTAGACACAGCTATTCTGAAGCTGAGGGTGAAAGGAAGAAGAGGAAGAGAAGGAGACAGCAAGGTGGATAGAATGCAGAATTCAGCATAACAGTGTTGGAAGGGACCTTGGAGGTCTTCTAGTCCAACCCACTGCTTAGGCAGGAAACCCTACAACACTTCAGACAAATGGTTATCTAATCTCTTCTTAAAAACTTCCAGTGTTGGAGCATTTACAACCTCTGGAGGCAAGTTGTTCTACTGATTAATTGCTCTAACTGTTAGGAAACTTCTCCTTAGTTCTAGATAGTTTTTCTCCTTGATTAGTTGTTCCCCATTGCTTCTTGTCCTGCCTTCAGGTGCTTTGGTAGATTTGGTTACAGTGGCAATGGAAACCCTTGGAAAAGCCAAAGAGCTAGACATGGGACAGGTCATGCTGGGGAAAATCTTTGCTGTCACTATGTAAGGACTCCAACAGAGCAGACACAAAAACAATGACCTATTTGTTCATCTAAACATGCTTCGCCATAAGTTAGACCTGCTATGGGGCCGCAGAGGAAATAACCCCACCAAGTTTTCTCTTGTTCTTCCTTTCCTCCTACAATATAGCACCTGTTTTGGGATGAAGAGAGATGCTGAACGACTAAAAGCATCAAGAAGAAGGCTGGTCTCCATTCTTCTGCCTCTTTGCAGTGTTGCTTCCACACAGCTCTCACAAGACTTCGAAGTGCAAATGACCTTTCCCCTATTTTGTTTTCTTCAGGATGACTGCCTCTTAAAAGTCTGGTATCCCATGATGGGTTGGAAATCGTCTCTACGTCCCCAAGAGGGAGATGAAACCAAAAAAACATCTGCCTCGACCCACTTTGCATTTGTCTACCTTTCGCATCCCCGGGCAGTGACGGGGTTTTCATGGCGACACACTAGCAAGTTTATGCCCAGGTTAGCGTCAGCCTTGGAAACCATTCCTTTCTGCATGCAACTCTAAAAGACCAGAGACATATTTTATGAGTTGACACCCGCCACGGATGGCGATCTGACGTGGTCTTTCTCTGTGCTTGTTCTCCTCAGGGGATCTGTTTGCAACGTGCTCCTGACTTCGTGTCAGGATGGTGTTTGCAGGCTGTGGGTGGAGACGTTGTTGCCCGAAGATACGCTTTTGGGAGAGCAGATCTGTGAGACCAGCACGTCAAGCATCGGTTCCAGCACCAGCTTCTCGCATTCAGGAAGGCACAAAGACAACATTCAGCATGCTTTGGAAGTATGATGAACAAAAGAATTGGGTGTCAGATGCTCCCTTTTATTTATCTGGAATTAACATCATCTCTCAGTAGCAGAGATTCAAAATCAGCAATGTCAGAATCTATTAAAGTATCTGTCTGTCCATGTGTCTGTCTGTCTGTCTTCCTTCCTTCCTTCCTTCCTTCCTTCCTTCCTTCTGCTATAACTTCCTTCCACTGTAACTTCCTTCCTTCCTTCTTTCTTTCCTTC